TTTTTTTTTTTTTTTTCTTTTATAGTTATTAAAAAAAAAGCTCTGTACTTTAAAAGTAATTCATACCTTGTTAACAAAGAAATATATTTATTTCAATACTTATATATTTACAAGTAAATTTAGTTATAACTTTTTAAGCTTAAACCTACGTTCGGGTGAATTGCTATTAATTCCAATATCAAATTATACCTTACTTTGAATGAGTAAAAACAACACTTCAAATAGCTCTTTCTATACTTTTAGTTTTTTTCATTAAGGCCATCTTCAATTCATGCACCAATTTGGTGTTAAAAAGGGAAGAGGAAAAAAAAAAAAACCATCCAACCCAATTGCAAATTATTACATCTAATTGGTGTAATGAAAAGTTTTTTACTTAGTGTAGTTTTTACATTTTTCATATTTTCATTTTTGTCCTTCATTTAATACAAAAACAATTTTTAATTCATATATTATTATTTTTTATATTTCATGATTTAAATATATTTAATTTGATTATTATTTATAATTAATTGTAATCAAGTAACAAAGGCTAATTAGCACCAAACATCCCAACTTTTCAATTTTTTGTGCAAAACGTCAATACCTTTCATTTTTTTGATAATTTTACCCTCACTTTTACCTTTTATTGCGGAAAAGGTCTTTCCATCCACCCACCCACCCATCGTCAAATACTTTGTTAACTCAACACAAATTTTTTTTTTTTTTTAAATAAGGGTAATATTATCTTAACCCAAAATTTCCATTCACCTCCATCTCCTCTTACACATTAACAAAGGTGACGCTACGATTTCTCCTTCAAACTCAACCCATTTTCTTTCATTTGTTTGTGCATTCCCTTTGCCTTCATCTCCTCTTACGCTAGTCTCCTGTCATCGTCACACAGTGGAAGCACAAAGTAAGGCAATTTGCAACAAGTGAAGGTAAGAAAAAATTGGGGTTGAGTTTTTTTATGTTTTCCATTTCATATTTTGGTGTTTTGCATGTTTGGGAGTTTGTGTTGAGCATTCAAGTGATTTATTGTTGTTATGCAGGTATATATCTGTTTGAAATATTATTTAGCACGCGAGATATGTAATAAATCAGAAACTAAGAGAAGGAAATGACAAACTGAATAATCCCTCAACGAAATTGCAGAAAACAGTATATTGAGGCTAGAGTTCGACTCTATTTCCTTAAGATGATTTTGGCCTGCTACGGTGCTTACAGTCAATACCAATCGCCTCCCAAGATACAACAATCTTTCACTTGTGGTGTAGAAGCACTCTAACAGCAAGAACATCGAACCAGAAAAAGTTTCGTACTCTCTGAACTTAATGGAAAATATATTTGTTTATACAGAATGCAAGAGAAGAGAATAATGATATTAAATGAATCAAATTCGGAAATCATGGATACTATTTATAGATTTCCAAAAGCTGCAGGTCAAGAGTTGCAATTCCTTGAAAGTTATTCCTAAATAGACACAACTATCAGTTTGTGTCCGTTTTAGTCCGAACAGTTTCGAATATGTTGAAAATACACACATTTCCACTTAATCAATTTTTGAAAATAAAAATAAATTAAATAAACAATTTTAATTTATTTTGTCCAAAAAGAATATAGGAACCAACCACGACACCCGATCCGACCCCGGCTTGTGCTTGTGTCGTGCCGAGCCGAGCCAGCTGGTTGGACGGCGGCTACGGCGTGTGGGTTTTGGACTAGTCTATACATTGTCTAAGACTTTCCCCTTTCAAATACTATTGGTACCCCTTGGGGCCCAAACCCATATCCAACCTTGAGGTATATAAATTGATTCAAAATTCTTTCAACTTCCTATGTGGGATAAAGTTCACACACTTGATTTTAAATTTCAGGATTTTTACTTTCAAGTTGCCAACTTCTAGTATTAATTTCTCATTCATCCGGAAATGGTTTTGTGAAATCAAATATATCACGAATATCTACGCGCGGAATAGAATGAGTTTGCCCATTGACCCACACAAAATGGATACCGGGTCCCACCCTGATTATTGGTCAAACTTGACCCATTTCCAACAGAGAGTTCAGTTTGATGAAGAGTCGAGGAAAAATACGGACTCATGGTTGTACTTTCTGGACCATATCCCTCTACTTTTATTATGTTTACGAGAATGACATTATTTTCAAAGACTGTCGTTTGATGTGCGAGAACGTGAAGTGTAGAAAAAGGTTCCACGTGGTGACTATTGTAGTGGAGAAGGGCAAGTATCTATGCTCGTTCGTGTCATTGGGGTGTACCCAGGAGAACAATTATAATGATGGGAAAAATAGAGAGAAGACGTGGGTTCCATTTGGCCCAACCATGGTGCTTAAGAGGGACGAGATTGTATCCAATGGTGAATGTAACGCGAAAAATGATGAAGAAGTAGCTATAGATATATCTAGTGACATGAAACAATTCGTGGCGAAGGTTTTAAAATGTTAAAAAAATTAAATTTCAGAAAAAGACGATCATTCAAGGTGAAAATAGTACTATGGGGGTGTGTTGGTGGAAAAGCTAATGCCTTTTGTGAAAAAGTGATGATTGGAGGTTAAAATCACAATGGAAATGTGGAAAATAGTAAAAAGGAGGAGCATGAAGTGAAAAATCGTGGCGAAGAGTCGTAAGAAGTTGATGGCAGAGAGACTTGAAAATTGACATTACAAAATTCCAGAAACTAGTGCCGTTGTCAGTACATACTCACTCGACCCTGGCCAAGGAATCCCACGATTGCTACGGGGATGCCTTGCAAATGACTCACATAAATTGCCGCCAATTCTCAGCATATACACGTTCGTAATCCTCCTGCAATTGCCACCAATTCTTGTGCTTTGTCACCCCGCTTGTTCCAAGAAATATGACGCCCACCAAGCATCACCACCACCCTCTGCCTGTACCAGTCCTCCTTCAAGTTCAAGACCTGAAACTTTTCGAACATCATGCAATTAGTGCAGGATGCAATATGAGCACCTGAAAGTAAAATATATTTATTTAATGCTATATTTGGTACATGCCTAATGGTGCGATTAAAAACTCTTTAAGAATGCTTCTCTTTTCCATACCTTCAAGAAAACAATAATCTCAATAACCTACGCCCTTCACAACAGTAGAAAAACTCAACCCTTTTATCGGGCTCTCCCTAGATTAGTAACCTCAATTGTAATGAAAAAAAACTCCTCTCACACTTTTTCTCTAGAAAAGGTTCACAAATTTTATCTCCATTTTTGATCTCTCCATGTCTTTTGATGTTCTTTTGTTACTTATTTTACGAAGTCAAGAAGTACGCTCAGCTTCAGTAATAGCAAAATAAATTGCGGGATCCGAATGACAAATATTTGAACGCCTCTATCAGACTTGTTCAATATGTAGGACAATGTGATAGCTATGTTCTCGCAATAAGGTATGTATCTTTGCTAAGGTTCAAAAATGCGTAAGCATGACAATATGTTTCGGTCGAATATCAAGTATTACAAGCATATGCGTAATTATGCGTTTCTGAATTTTTAATATTATTTTAAATACTCTAAACTAATAAATAAATAAAATAATGCATTATTTACACTTTATATATATCATTCAAATTTTCAAAAAAAGAACATATTGCGAGAACATAGTGGACTATTCACGTTTGACGTATTCTTAACTATTTTCGCTATCTGTATGAACTATTCGATATATCTATAATGTAGTACTTGAAATAAGTTTCGAAATGNTATTCGATATACCCATAATGTAGTTCTTGAAATAAGTTTCGAAATGATATAAGTGATTTGTAGATTCAATTAGCGTACGATCGTCGGGGAATTTTTAAAATTTACGTATATTATCGAAATTCAAATTTATTTTAATTTTGCCCCCGTTTGGTGGAGATTAAAATCAAATTTTTAGTAAATTTTGATAAAAATTAAACATTTATGGATTTCATGAAATATGTTATTAATATTAATTGTTAACTTTGATTTAAATTAAATTTTAGATTTCATTCGATACCAAACATGATTGTATATATAAAAAAAAAATTGTAAAAGTTGGCAGCTTTGCCTTGCCAAAAACAAGGCAAAGCGTATAAGCTTCTCCAGCGCACCATGCGCAGGAGAACGGAACTGATAAAGTTTAATTAGTCAAAAAATATGCATTTTTACACCACTCACGTCTCAAGGCACAAATTCACTTGATAACACTCTTCGCCAGTGACTCATTAATGGGAAATCGTTTCATTTAATCCTAGTAAAGTATAGATTTTTTTTTTTTATACGGTTACGAGTCTAATAAATATTTTATCCATATTTTCAAGGGCCTAAAAGTATTGCTCGTCATAGATGCATCTGACAATTTAATCAATATTTCGAATATTTTATTATTTGTTTTCTAAAACTTTCGAATATTTTCAATAAGAACTTTCAAAATTTTCGTGCTGATTTGATCCAACATATGTTGAAATTGGGAGTTCGAAATTTTAAAGCTTCAAGGAAGAAATTAATTTATAGAGAACCGCAAGAAAGATAATATTAATTATACTCTCGTCTTTAGGCTCAAAATTGTAATCTAATGATAAATATAAAATTTGAAGTAGCCAACAAGCAAAAATTTTAAAACGTGGAATTTTGCAAAAGTACATATATTATTAAGATGGATATCTTGACATATTACATATGATTAGTAAACTAAGTAATGTACAAAAGTCTACAACTTATTTGAAGGAATTCGCTTTATCTCGAGGGAAGTAAATAAAAATGTAATTATATATTAAGGCAAAAAAATCATGTTTGATTACATCAATTTGTCTCCAACTCGTTCAAGAATAATATTAGACCTCAACGGGATCAATAAACAAAGAAATGATGTGGGGTTTCAGAACTTTTTGTGGTTGTGTGTATCCATCTTCATTGCCTTTATAAGTGACATCTATAATGCGTTCAAGGTTGAGAATTCGCATCAAAATTTCTCTTGGAGAGGAAGTTGGTCGAAGACACTCTTCATTGATATCTTTCCACGCATTTGTAACCATTTCAAAAAATTTATCGACGGCCACTTCTTTAGGAACACCATTCTCCTTCATGTATGATTCGATGCCGGTAGCAATTTGGCCTCTTTCCTTCTCAACCTTCAATAAGACAAAATTTAAAGAATTCAATTATAGATAAGTGGAATGAAGTTGCTTATTTGTAGAACTAATTTTTCCTTCTAACAAACTTTGAGTGCAGTTCATACCTCATAGGTAGCAATGTCATCAACGAGTCGACATATTATGAGGCTGGCAACAAGCATTTTAGGTTTATTGCTGAGCCACTCAAATTCTTCCTCTGTGATTGATTTGATCCCAAGCAAGGATGTAGTTGTGTGGTAAACATAAGTGCATGTGATTAAGGCATTGCTCATGTACTCAGAAAACGGTGGCAAGTATCCTTCAATGAACCACTTGGCTTCCACATGGTATGTCCTCACAAGTTCTTTCAACTGCATTCAAATTAGTACGCATTTAAGTAACTTGAGGAGGATAAATTAAGCATAAAAGTAATAAAATGCTAGAAGATTAAGAAATCAATAGTAGCGCACTAATCATAGAAAGTGGTACTTACGGCTTCTTTTGCATAATGGACCGCATAAGATCTTCCTTCTTTTGATAGTTCTTCATCAAATTGCTCGTAAAGATTTAGAAGAGCGCTATAAAATGGTTTTATGTACTCTGGAAGCCGATAAATTTCGTTAATATCCCACCTGAAACAACAAGAAAGTCTCATGATGTAAGGTCATGAATAAATGATTGATTACTTTCAAGAAACTATTTTGTAATACTATCGTGAAAGAAATATGTACCTCATAATGGCCTCTGTAAAAATTTCAAGTTCTTCGACTGTACCATAGGCGTCATATGTATCATCTATTATTGACGTCATTGCAATGGTCTTGGTGAGCATGATTCGAGCAACTGAATATTGAGGTTCGTGATAAACTCCCATAGCCCAAAAAAAACATTCTACCACTCTGTCTCTAGCGTAAGGAAGCTTAGAAACAAGGTCCAAATCCTTCCACCACCTGCAATATATATATAAGCAATGCATATTATTAATTAATGTACACACGCATACATAGAGCTATTTTATGCACCTGTCAAGAACATTACCTTGAAACTTCATAGAGCTCCTTTTTATGCAACATTTGCAATGAATTATAGTCTAATTTGGCAAACCTCAGCAGCATTTCATTCTTGGACTCATCTTCTTGGTAGATGGAGATAAAGTTACGCGCCTCAATTCTTGGATTACCAAAGTGGATGCATTGCTCAAGGGCATGAGCTACTTGTTTCCCGTGGGTAGAGCTTAGATTTGGTGCCATGGATTTCAGGTTATCTGTTGTAAAAGCAAGAGCATCTTCTAGTATATCTTCTCCATGCACTCTTAAATATGCAGCTTCATATAAGCTCAGCAATCCCCTTGCATCACTCTTGATAGTGTCTTTGAATTTTCCATTCTGTTCTATGAATTTCTTAAAGATATCACTAGATATACGGTAGCCATGTTGTCTGAATAAACGAAAATGAAGTGCAACAGTGTACAAGTCGTAGGCTTCATCTGCATAATTTATGTTGAGATTAAAGAAACGTTCCAATAGTTCTTCAATCTCGTTTTCAAAATGATATGAAACACCCAAGCGCTCAAGTGTGTCGATCAAATTCATTGTCTCCACCATATCTTTTCCAGTAGCTGTTAGCATGCTGCTCACTTCCTTCTTTAACCCTTCAATCTCCTTGGCATAATTTTCTGCTAACTGTATTATTCCACAAGAGCAACATGTTATAATCAAGCCAAGCCAGTTTTCACTTCTTTAATGTACATAAGAACAGTATATAATTTAAAAATGAAAAGGATTCCATAATATATAAGGAAAAAAAGAGACTGATATCTACCTCATTTTCAAAGGCGAAATTGATAAACTGCTCACCCCATAGGCTGGGAGAGAAGTTTGCGACTGGACGTACAATCTCCTTTTTGCACAAATTGCTAGCACTTTCAGCAAGAGTCGAGGCCATTTTTGATTATCTTCTGGTAAAAGGAAGAAGGTGACGAATAAGAAATAGTTATGTAATTAGCAGAAGAAGAATTTATGTTGAAACTACAGAGAATATAGCTCAAGTTGATGATGCTGATCATATACCAAAGAAGTACCTGTATTTATATTGAAGATGAACGGCACGGGTGACTATTAGTCTATTACTATATTGAATGGAAGGCTTCTTTGGCGGGTGGTCATTTTTGACTACTACCGTAGAGAATATTATATCATTCTCTATTTTACTAATTGCGTAGGAAGGAATTGAAAATGTAGGGCCTGCATAGATTTTCCCTAAACTAAAGAGTTATTTTCAAGAATTGAAAGTCTAAAATTTTGGTGGTTGTAGATTTGTGGGACAAAATTGAAAACTATTTAGGAATTTTTAAAAAATTTTGTGCAAAAATTTTGAAAAATATTGTTCAAAATCTTAGATTTAAAATTTAGTATGAGGGCAGGCAACCCCTCTGCATCCACTATAAATCCGCTCCTGAAAATATTAAAACGAAAGTTTTATATAGATAAGTTAACATTAAAAAACATTTCGTAACATTATTAAATTGCATAATTAATTAATTCGATAGAATAAATACACAAAAGTATGGTTTAGAATACACAAATGTGAAAAATAAATTTATCAACAGAATTTTGTATGAAACATGGTTTCAACATTAGAAAAGTATCAATGAATGAGATAATTGAGATCAATATCTCGTTATTTTAAGAACGCAAGTTAAGAACACTTTGAACATTTATAAAACATAAAATCAATAAAACTCTTCCTTGTTTGATTGCAACGAATTCCATGGAAAATATTACATTCGAGGAAAATGAATTCAACTTTGGCCGTTTGATGGCAACGTGGAAATAAAAATCGAATTCCAAGGTACAACCACTTTAAACTGCATTTTATTTGTTTTCATGGAAAACGAATTCATATGGGTTCGGTGAGTTTTTATTTTCCAACTAGTATGAAATTGTAATTCATTTCTATCTTTACTTATCAAATGGGCCCTAAAAGAAAACTTCACCTTAGGCATTTTACGGCTACTACATGCTTTTACTCGATAGGTTTTAAGAAAATTTTATTGAAAAAATAGAAAGTATTTACAACGATCACACTAGAAGACAGAGAAGACGGATAAAGCAAAATAATTTAAAAAATCTTCCTACTAAAATACAATTTAATATTATATAAAAATTAACAAATGGATAAGTTGGTATTAACTGTGGATTTGACGAATTACGTGAATAAAAAATTATTTAATTTTCACAATGCATAAAAAAGAATAAAAAAAAATCCGTCCATTTTGGTCTTTTGTGAAAATAATAAACAACAAATCTCCTTTGACCAGCCGCCGAAGTAGTATAATCCAATATTGAAAAGTTGAAATCTAAAAGGCAGAGATCTTTTCTCTAGCACTCATTATTGGAAAATCGTTCCATTTACACTTAGCAAAGTATATCCCAATCTTTTTATATTGTTACGAGACTAATAAATATTTTATCAATATTTTCAATGGTCCATCATAGATGCCTCTAATAATTTAATCTATATCTCGAATTTGCCATTAATAAAAGGTGTTGCAACAAAGGTTGTCGGTTGTTGAATTTCATTTTCTTTTCTAAATTCTTGAATATTTTCAGTTTTATTTTTCGTTGTGCATGTTAAGTAAATTCCCAATAGTTCTTTCAAGAAAATTCCTAAAAGTCTTGGATGCATTGGACACTAGTAAGTACTCGAGGATTTCAATTTTTGATATTGCGACGACCAACTAACTGAATAATGAAACATGGTTCTAAGAACTCTTCGAAAATTTATAAAACACAAAACCAATATAACTCAAAAAAGAATTTTTCGGTTACTAGATGCTTTTACTTAATAGGTTTTAAAGAAAGTTTGATGAGAAAATAGAAAGTAAAGAATGTACATTAGTACTTGTTTGATAGGGATTTTTGGGAGAAGAATTGATTTTGGAATAGTGATATGATGAGAAATGTGTGGTTGAAAAAGAAGAAAAAATTATTGATGTGATAAAAAATATNAATTGATTTTTGAATAGTGATATGATGGAAAATGTGTGGTTGAAAAAGAAGAAAAATGTATTGATGTAATGAAAAATATTATTTTATTGAAGAATGTGTGGTTGAAAATGAGAATTGATTTACTGTAAAATCAAAAAATCAAAAACAAACACCCCCCTAATAAAATGCCACATTTCTGCACTAAAAGACGGATAAAAATAATTTTAGAAAGGCACAAGGAAAGGCTTACACGAATATGTTTTAATATTGGAAAATGCTATGTGTACACCTTGTGGTGTACACAAAGTTTTACACCTCCCTCACATGAAAAGGGGTCCACAAATATTTTATTGTGTGCGGGCCCCCCTCCATGTGAGTGGAGTGAAACTTTGTGTACTCCATTGTGTACACATAGCACAACCTTTTAATATTATGTTTGGCAAATGTTCATAAACATGTCGAAATCAGGATAACGTGAAATATGTGATTAAAAAGTTATATAACTTTAAAAAAGTATTTATAAATATATTATAAAAGCGTGAGGAAAATTCTGCAGTAAAAAATAAAAAAGTCCATCTATTTTGGTCGTTTTTAAGACGAAATACTTGACTAGAAACCTCCTTTGAATGGTATTTATTTGTTCAAGAATTTTAAATAGCAATGGCGTGTTGGGACAGAATGTTATGCTAAGGCCTCGTATTTTCATATTAATTTTCATGTTTTTCTTTTTTTCCATATCAAACGTCTTTTTTCTAAATTGAAGGCTAAGTTAGTATAGTGTATGTGACAGTAATAAACATGAATGGTGTTGATCTCGATTTCTAATTAGTGACGTGACCAATAGATTTCGACTCTATTCCTGTCTACACGTAAAACTCATGCACACTTGGACAATCGTGTTACCTTCTCCAATGGTGGATGAGGCGGCCACAAGCATTTGACGCTCAAGTCAACGGACTTATATATTTGAGTGTGGGATAAATGGGAGACGTGTACAATTATGTGTACAAGAACGGGTTTTACAGAGAACATAAGAGTGAATAATAATACTATTGAGGGTGTATTATTGCATTTTCTTCAAATGAAACTAATGAGCTTTTATAGAAGAGGTAAAGTAGTTACCGTTGGATGAAAGACATGTAGCATTCATTATCTTAACGGCCGATGCATCTCCTCCTAGTTGTTTCTTTTGTAGTCCTATGTTTAGGGACATTTAACGATTATAAAAAGTAATCACTTTATAGCCTAGGTCTGACATCTAAAAAGTAAATTGATAAGTTAACTGAAAGCTGTTTGCTATAGAGATGTCACATCAATCAATCATAGAAAATCTTATTCAAAAGATCTCTTGAAAGAGATGAACCAAGAAGATACCTTCATGTATTTAAAGGTTACTCGCTTCGAATTTACACTACAACAGATTGTAGCGCATCGCCTAAGTCATGAAGGATCGATCCCTACATCGCACCTCAACTGAAGTAAGGCATGACATCGACTACCTATGTCCGATGACCTAAATTAGGCCAAGTTGGACAGTGATGTGGAATGCAGGCCTAAATTGACTTGTTAGATGACTTCCACGTGACCAATGCTTTGAAGCTCATTGAATGAGGCGTGACAAACTGAACAATCTATTAATATTGAAAAGTTGAAAATCATTTACTCAATTGAAATAAACTTTAAACTTTTGCAGATCATAAATCAATTTCTAGTAAAATAATATCATTAACGAAAGGTCAAATAAAATGAGGAATACAATTCGTCCAAATACAAGAAATTTGAACCAAATATGCGATAGCTCATTGGCTATTCTATTTCCCTCTCAGAAAACAAAGTAACAAGGTACACCGTCAACATCTTGTAGCAACCTATCGACATCTTGGAGCTGCGCTACATTTGGCGTGAATAGATAATCCGAGGCTAAACTCTTCACAGTACAAAAAGAATCACATCCAACTATACGGAGATTCGACTGGGCAAAACGGAGCACTTCCCTCAACGTCACCGTCTCTGTACATCCAACTAGAAGGAATAGAAACAAAAATATTCTGCTACATTCTATACAAACAAATTTCATGGAGATACATATTTCATAAACAAAAATATATTTGATAGATTGTTAAAAAAAATTAGTAATATCAGTCATCAACATAAAACAAATACCATCAATTAAGTAATTATTTGAATTGAAGTGTATAAAGTAAGTGGAATCAAAGTCCGAGTACTTTTTCATATTCGAAACTTCTCCCAAGTTTTCAACTTTCTTTTTAGTTAGAAATGGTGTAATTTGGTAAAGGCTAATATCCTCTTTTCTTGGGTTTTCAGAAACCTGGCATGCTGATGTGGTTCCTCAAGATGATGATAGAAGGAACTATTTTCGAAAGGAATTTGATGTCCAGTTCTTTTCTTGGGTTTTCAGACTTTGATGGCCTCGACGAATTCTTGTAACTCTTTTTGCTTAACAATGAGACTTATCAATGTCATTTCTATTAAGTCTTATATGTACAAGTGCATATTATACAAAACACGCACACATTTCAACATCGAGAGAATCCTATAGTTATGTTATCAGATTGGGCTGATATTCTACCATGGTAATTTTTATCCATGACAATAACAGCAATTTTTCTCACCTTACAAGGAAGATGCTATATCGGCCATCAATCACGAGTACCAAGATCAGGGATGCAGCATTCAGCAATGTTGAAGCAGGCAGGCAGCCAACATAAACATAGAATCTGCAGAAGTTTCAAATGAGTTATTAAACAACTCAAGTGCACAAATAGCATAAAAATACTACCACAACGATAAATTGAGGCTACACTATAAGCACAATAGAGGGGTTGCTCAATATGTCGAATCAAGTAGAAGGAAATAACCCAAAAGCACTTCACATAAAATCTAAGAATACAATAATGATGATAAGAACAGTTCCTGTAACAATAATGAGAACACCAAAAACCTCAACCAGTATTTGTATATCACCATATGGATGCGTAGAGCATACAGCAAGGAAGAAGATATCACGACACCTTCTACAGAAGGATTGCATGCATCCCATCAAGTTCAATAACTAAATAGTTCAATCACAAAATTTAGGGGTATGCATTAGACAGCACTCGATAGTGTTAATGAAGAAAAAGAAGTTAATGTTTATCAATTATATTGTATTAAATTATGCCTACAGAATGCAGTCCATTTCATGAAATTTTATCAAATGTCAGAGATTATTAATAATTGGGATATCAATTTAGAGAGGTGAGACGGTAATTCATTCAATAATTAGAACATCTAACAGGTCCAAACACTCCCTAATACAACAAAAACATTTCAATTGTAAAAAGAACATATGGCAGAAAGCAGGAACATATCTTACTTCTGAGTTCTGATTTTGAGACATGGCACAAAATGATTGTAGTTGAACTGCAAAAAGATCTCTTAGAATTTGGCCCAGCCCAAGAGAGTTAAAATGGGAAATAACTCCTTCGGAAGTTGAACCTAAACTACGAATAAGTTAAGTGTAAATTCATATAAGTCTTTACAAATTAACTAGAGCAACACATACTTAAGCTGCAAAATATGCAACGTCATGTAAATCCTTACCTCGAGCTGGTGCACAGACTTATCAGATATACATAATACTAATGACAGCAGCCAGTCCATCTATTTACCCCAGAATAATAGCCTAGAAACTCCATGCTTTACGAAGGGAAAAGAGAGAGAATCAACCCAAACAAGAGATCACAGAAACTGTAACCAAATTTCCCTTTTACAACACCTCCCATAGAAACATCTTGGATAAAACCATAAAGAAGCACATATTACAAGAATCATATGCCAGATGCAACGTTCAAGTACTGCACAAAACCTGAAGTCACAAGATGTATTTACAAACACAGTACAATGCATTCATATATAGATAAAAGCTGTTTATATGCAACTTTTTACAATATTTGAGAAAATGTAAGCAAGATGAATAGCTCTGGACTACATTCATGGGAAGGAAAAAAAGACTAAAGCCTTAGTTAGACTTTCTCTTAGTGCCTTTAGAAGATTCAATGGCCAAAAATTGCCTCCTACCGGCCTTGATATTGGGCTCAACAGTGTTGCATATTCAGTAACTTATGGAGTGCACTCGAGCTTATTAATGTTAAATTCACAATAAAATGTGAATAGCTCTATGGTAGAGATTGCAGAACCAAAGATAACGGTTGAAATACAAGAATACTCTTAACATCCCAAGGCATATAAAGACAGAAGTCAACTCCACTAACAAGAGTATCTTCAAACCCAAAGACTAAACAAGTTACAAGCAAACTGACCAGGCTGTACTTTTCATGTTTTTCCCTACTGAAAATGTCAGGCACTTCTTTGTCTATGTGCACAGGGAAAAATATCCAACCAACCCAATATGATTTCTTCCAAATACAAAAATAAAAATTTAACCAACAATAGTGCAAAAAATATAATTCTGAGCAAAATAAATGCAATAATGAACTTAGCTTAGCCACTGTCACTGAATTGTAACCAAAAATTGCAATATCACTATAACTGTTATCATTAAATGGACAGAGTACCAGGATTAAAATCCTCCAGGAAAAGGAAAGGTTGTATCAATTTAAACCATTCACAAAGTCTGAACCCGCAAGAAACAGATCCTACAACAAAAACCAATTGAAACAAAAAGAATGGTACCAAATATGAACAGACAGAAGACAACAAGAATCCTATTAGCTCTTTGCACAGACAATAGAAGAGAAAAAAAATTGTCAATCTTGAAAAATTAAATAAATAAGAAGACAAACTATAATTTTCTGTGTCCTTCCACCAATGCTTTCCAAACAAGTACCTAGTTTAGAAGACAAATGGAATTGCTTAAATCATTACTGAAATTGCACAAAACACAAAAGTTCTTTTGCAAATTAATACATAGATATATCAATTCACATGAAATCGAACATTCATGAAGAAAATCAACTTGCACTCCTAATAGTAAGAGGGAACCAACTGAGGAAAACTTTGTCAATATACCTATCTAATGTTATCAAAGAGGTAAAACATATAATAACTGAAGAAGCAACATATTCCAACGGACTTAATAAGACCATCTCCAACCCTGCAACAAAATTTAAGGTAAGTTTTGAACAATTTTGCACCAAACTGAAAATCATCTCCAACTCATTACACCAAATGAACAATATTTAATTATTTTCTTCATTTTTTTCCATTCTTAAGATTTATTTATCTAAAAACTTATTTATTTATTTAATTTACTACTACATATTTACATTTCGTTAACAAAAATATTGAATTCATTAATAAATTTTAAAAATGTAGTACAATTAATAATAATAGTAGTAGTAGTATTAAAAAAAAATTATTATAATTATTAATTAAGAATTAAAATTTGTTGTATAACAAAAAAATAACACAAATACCCTTAACAAAAATTTGGTCAACATGGAAAAGAGGGGCAAAAAGAACATTAACCATTTTGGTGCAAATTATGATGTTGGGTTGGAGAGCGATTTCACCAAATTTTTGTTGCAAAATGGGGAAAAATTGTGATATGGTGCAAGGGTTGGAGATGCCCTAATACTTTCTGGAAGGATCTTTTCACATTTCCTTCAATCCTTAAAATGTTGCATTATTAAGTACGACTTAGAGAATGAAAAGGGGAAAATAACATAAAACAAGGGAGGTTGTGGGAAATCTGCCTCCATGAGAGATTAATACTACATGCCAAATTGTTACCGTTGAAAGAGAAGATTTGACATGCAAATATCTCCTTATACTAGACATGACTTAGCCCAACAATAATAAACTAGACATGAAAGATAAGATTTGACACCATTCCCAAAAAAACAAAAGGTTTGTCAGATGAACATGGAGCTGTTTAATTAACTGCAGGAGCCAAAACCTGATCAAATCACAAAAGGATAACAAGCCACTCCAATCAAGCTCTTCAATTGTGTTGAGGATATCAATTGGAAAAACTATCAGCAAACTCATTTTTGCTATGACTCTCTAACAAACTCACAGAATAGGTAAGTGTAAGTAATGTCAGCATTCAAATGAGCAAATTCAAGCTCATCGGTCAGGTATAACTAACAGCATCCTAAAAATACCATGCATAATTAAGGGCTAATCCATCTGCACTTCAATATGGTCTTAGAATGTAAGTCCTGCGAGAACNTTATTTTATTTTTGGCCTTTGAATGAATTATTTTTTTTTCCTCCCACTTTTTTATTTTTCAAATTGAAACCCCCCCCCCCCCCAACACACACACACACACACACACAGAGGAGGAGGAGGAGGAGTTAATGGCAGAAGCATTCATCTTCCGGGACTAGACATGGAACCATTACCACTTTAACAGTTGCATTGAAAAAATCAGAACATATTGCACAGTATTAATCATAGAAAACCAAAACAAATTCAAGCTAAATAAACTCGCATTAGATATAATCCCCTGTTATTCAGGCTGATATATTTTACTCGAATTAACAAAATTTTATCAACCAGAAAGAGGAAGGCTGCATCAATTGTTAGCATTCTGAAAGGAAAAAAACTGATAACAATCTCCAGCAAAAATGCAGATGCTTCCCTTAACAGTTCACATATTCATTCAAAGCCTTCAAAGAAATGCAGGGCTACAGAATGATCTTCAGGGAGAAGAGCTAATCATTTTATCTTAGCTTGAGCAGAAAATACAAAATTGTCAACTCATTCTGACCCATCATCATACTGGTCTATCATAACTGAGAAAGGGACAACAGACAACTGCGATAGAGATCACTGCTCTTTCCCAGTAGATAGATGAAATGCTATTCATACCAATCTCCATTTGGTAGGATTAACCACTAAATCTATGTATCTGAACAACCATTTTCACAAAAAACAATTTGAACTCTTCAGTATATTGTCTGCCCTTTCGAGAGGGGCTGTCAACTAAAGTTTTTCACTGTGATTGATAAGGGGGACCATTGTACACCATCCCAGGAGCCTGCATGGGAGGTAGAAGACTAAAGTTAGGAGCTGAAGGTGGTTGCTGAGGTAATGGGCCTGGCTGCTGCTGGGAGAATGTGGGTGGCTGTTGGCCCATTGCAAGTGGTTGCTGCTGAAGAATCTGCAGTGGTTGCTGGACCAAAGGCACCATTGGGTTCATCATATAGGGTGGAGGTGCAGGAGGTGGTGGCCCAGGTGGCAGAGGAAGACTACCATAATCATATGAACCCACCATGACACCTGATGGCTGCAAATATTGCTGTGGTGGATTAGGGATGGAATGACACTGAACCTTAGAATTTGAAATTTGACCTTGTATTGTGGGCGGAGTCACCATCAGGGACTGATAAGTGTTATTTTGGGGATAATTAGGTTGTGGTGCTGGCATGAAAACATTTGGATCTGAAACAGGCAGATGGTTTTCAGGTTTCAGTATTGGACTACTGACCCTGGATGAGAAAGAAGCAGATGATGTAGAAGACTTCAACAGCCCAGCATTTTTGGCTTCTTCGGCTGCAAATGTGCAGAGGACAGATGTCATAATATACTGAGAGGAGCTTGAAGCTGCAAGCTTATCTGCAACCTCAGCAGCAATAGATGCAGCAGATTTTCTCATCGTTTGCGCTGCTGGTTTTGTATTGGCATCTGATGATACAGTTGATGGTTTTGCATCTTCTACATGGTCTCCATCCACATGGTTCCGCATTTTTGCACCTTCTTCCACCAGTGCCTGTGCTACCTGAAGTTGATTTGATGCAAAAACATTAGCATAATGTTAAAACTGATCAAAGTCCATTTATCTACTATCTATTATCTCCATTCTGTAGGGAAAAAAATTGCATAATTCCCAACCTATTCACTTAGTAGCTACAGGTTCCCAATCTTTTTTTTTTTTTTTTTCCTTTTTTGACATTTAATCCGCCATCATTTCTGCAGCACCATGGTCCCCCAATTGACAGATGGCAAGTATACATGCATGTGTCACGTGTCATTTTTTAGGGACAAAAATGTCATTACACTTATGCCAAAAGGTTAATCATCATCCATTCCAACTCTTTCTGACCACTACTGACTAATGCCATCCCCCCACCCCACACCAACTAAACCCCCTTGTCAGCAGCAGGTTCTCCTAGACGGCGGCACCTCCACCAACCTTAGCCAGCAGAGACCCATATAAGACGCTCACCAGCGCCCACCATCACCAGGTCTTCAGCTCTATAAGCAATCATGAAACATCATCTGAAATTACACTGATTAGTTTAGATCATCCTACAAACGAGATATCCAGAAAAAGTATAATAATAATGGTATAACATATCAATAAAACAGTGGTGGTACCACCACCCAACGACAGGGTACTTATTGATAAGCAGAAGGGTTCGGAGAAGGGTTTTGGCAATGGAAATAATTCTTTGGGATGAAGGAAGAATAGGTGCAATACAATTTGGGGTTTGCTGATGTTGATGGTGCTTGTATCTGTGTTTCTGAAGTTCCCTTTCACGATTTGTGGTGGTCTGAGGGAGGCCGACAGCCAAACGACGAAGATAGAGAATGGGTTTTTTTGTTGTTCAGACTATCAAAGAAGGATGTGGTCTAATGTTCAGAAAGTCACGCTTGATTTTTAAGCCTCTTCTAGTGCAGATGTGCAAAAATGAACGATTGTCCCCCTCTTTCTGTTAGTTTTATTTATTTTTATTTCTTGTATAATTAAGAATAAGCTATGACGCACCGAAGACACACTGTGCATCGGACACGTGAGTCACATGTCGGACACACTGACATGGACTTTTCAAAAAAGTATTGACACAACACATTGATTAAATTCTTTAAAATTCTTCATTCATATAGTATAAAATCAATTTTATACTTGTTATTAATTTTTCTTGTTGAAATCTTTTAAATATGAATACCCATTAGAATCATCTTTTTATAAGAACGTTGACTTTTTTAACAGTTAATTGATGTATTCTATCTATCAATTGGGAACTATGGAGCCAAATGAATGATAGGTTGGGGAGTAAAACAGCAAAAAAAATAGATGGGGACCCATTTTCCACTAAGTGATCAAGTCGATGACTAATGCTACTATTCCCCCATTCTGTATACAAAGTGTTCCTCTAAAAAATGAATTTACTAACATTCCATCTCAAAGTATTGTCTTTCTTAAAGTCATTGTATGCCGAGGACATAGTAGGAAACACAACGCACACAAACTGCATTATTAGACATAAGTGGATATGGTTTTCAAACTTGTCACTGTAGCAGACAACAAAAACAGAACAAGAGGAACATAGGCATGATCCTTTTTCTCCAAAGAAATAGAACATGGGAGAATATAGAATAGAGATTCTTACAGGTGGATATTCATCATAGTACATACCTGCATCTGTGTCCGAACATTCTCCAGTTCGGATTCCTGAAAATCAAAGAATCAACCACAAGATACCTTGAAAATCAACCCAAAACTTCAAGTTCTGCAAATAAACAGAAAGTAATTCTTGAAAATAATCTATCATATACCTGCTCATGAAGCGCATCCTGTAACTGAGATACAAGGGCCAATCTATTTGCTTCAACAACTTTAAGTTTCTCAATGCTCTGATTCAAAAGATTCTCCTCCTCCTCAATTTTTTTAGCTAAGGTGTTCCATGATGAATCCTTAGCTGCACAACAAATATGACAAGTTTTGATGATAAAAGAAAAGAGCATCATGTTATAAACCATGAATAACCTCAGGAAACAACGAGAAGACTGCTAAAAGATTTTATCAATGCTCTTCTACAAAATTTATTTTTCTTGTTCTTCAGTAAGAAGTTCCTAAGAATTAACCAAATTACAATACTGAGTAAGTACTTACGAGCCTGCATGGAAGATGTAATTTGTCCAAATACCAGCCTACCTTTTGTTAAGACCATGCGGAAGTCCTTTTCCAGTTTCTTCACACGATTAACTGCAGACTTGCATTTATTCATTTCTTCATCTTCAGTAGTATGTTCACTGAGCACCAAGTGGAAAGCTGAAACTATTTTTTCTGCTGTTCCTCCAATACTCAATTTCTGGCTTCAGGCAAAAATATACAAGGAATCCGAACCAAATGTGGTGGGTAATTAATAGAAATATTATGGAATTAGACTAAGTTAACAGAGATTAATTATGATCCCCACATAAAAAGACAAGAGGGAAGGAATCTTACCGTTTTTATAAATCGTGAGTCCCTTTTAACTATTCTCACAGAACGGGAACGTTTTTTCCCAAATTCCAAAGGTGGAGGCAATTCTTCTCCAAGCATAACATCTCGAAGGATTTGATTGCGGGATCCAAAAACTCTCCTTTCTTCCCAAATCTTCACCTATCAATATGATGATAATACTGGTCAAGAAATTTCAACCAACCAATCAAGAATCACGATCTTAATAATGACCGGAAGATAGCTTACCAATCTGGATACCACATTCTTCTCACGGTCATTGCCTTTCTTCACAACTTCCTTGAGTGCTGCAGGAAGAACCTTCCAAAACTCAACGACAAATTCATTTCCATTGCGCTTGCTGTTCTGCAGAATATCATTTGCAAGGTACAAAAGAGGTACTTTCTTAGCCATCTCTGATCCATGGAATTGTTTGTCCCATGTTGCAACAACCAGCTCTGAATTACTGCGATGAAAAATGCACCAGTGCGACAATGCTATGGTTGAAGTTAAGGCAACAAAGCATACCAAAAAAAATAAGTTAGAACGATTCAAGAAGTGATTGTATGTAATTGCTAAAATGTTTGTGATCATAGAAGATACAAATTTATGCTTATTTTGTTCTAGAATGAAGTAGCAGTGTAGCACTACAAACCTAACAGCACACTATGTCGCTCAATTAAATAATGCATCATAGATCCCTATGCAAGCAAATCTTCAGTGCAATCACTCTTATGGTATTGTGATAAAAACTAGCCATATAGAATAGAAAAGGAGAAATAAACAACTAATTGAACCTATTAACAAACACGTCCAAGAGATACCAATACATATGCTTATAAAGTAGTAATATATTTTCAAGCACGTCAACAAGATAAGTAAATAATTTAGCGGTTTAAACTATTATTACAGCAACAAGTACAAAACAATTGTAATTAGGGAGGAAAGGTACTGTATTACTTCCTACTTGTTCATCATTCGATTAATAGTATCAAACTGGCAAAAAACAAAAGATTTTAGGAACTGGATAAAAGGTCCTCATATATCATAAACACACCACAGACAAAAGTATGTGTGTCCTTAGGTTGACCGCCATTTCTTCATTAAATTTTCCCGTGTTAAATCCAGAACTTGAAGACTTTCATTTTTAAGCCCACACATGATCAAACGAGATGCAACTATTACCCTAGGCCCATCTAATTATCAAAAATGAAAAGGAAGGAACAACTGCAACATGGAATGACTACATAACCCATCTAGTTTCACTAATTATAAAAAAATGAGTTTGCAAACAACCTCGAGGAAAGCAGTATAACGAACACATAATATATGCCATTCAATTCAACCACATACCCAGCCAAGAACCAGAAAAATCACAAAGACAGAAACAGATGTGCAGGGTCTTTTTTTCTTTTGAGAGACAAGATAAAGAAAACGAAAAATGCACCGTAAGCAACAATTTTCCACCAAAATATAAAGATTCATCAAATATATAAGCAAAAACAGTAGAGGATACTTTCAATGCACTGCTGAGTGCTGTTAAGCTTTGAGAGCTTGTCTGCAAGTATCTGTTCACTAAACGCAGTATTCATCTCACCTTACCAATTTCCCCTTCGCATCTACCACTTGTCACTTCACAAAACAAAAACGTATATGTATATGTCAATCCGTATCTGGGCCTATATGAACATCCAAGAACCCATAAATTAAATTGATTCAAGAGAAATTCATCCAATTTTCTAGTTTCGAAAATGAATAAAGATTCGATCTTTAAGACGATAACCAAAAGGGTTTCCGCAAAATCACCAGATAGAGCTAATGAAGAGAAGGGATTGGCAGAAAATGTGAGAAAATTTTGATGAATTGCATTGAAATCAAAACTAAAGAAGGAAAAACCAATAAACAGAAAGTCTTCTCTAGAAACTTAAGAAATGGGTTTCGCTCACAAAGTGAAGTGTATCGAAATCAAGATTCCTGATACAGCAAGCGCGAGAGCGTCTAAGAGAAACCCAAGTAAAAGCTTCTTCCTTGATAAATCTTTGAAGTTTGGAGTTGAGAAGATGGAGATTGGGAAAGAGTAAAGGCAGATTTTAAGAATTTGCTTTGGATTTTCCGTTGCTTAGTTCAAATTCTGGGCGGAAATACACGAAAATGGTCTCCCCCACTGTAGTCTATTTCTAAACTGACATTTGACTAGGAAATAGAATAAAAAAAAAAAGGTCAAAACATAGGTTAACTTTCAAAAAGTCAAAAATACCCTCACTGTAGTCAAAAGGAACATTTCTCACAGGCGATTGAGACATCTCATCGACCGGCCATCTCCTTCACCGAAACATCTCACCGACCGGCAATCTCCTTCATCGACCCATCTCACCGACGACTTGAAAGGTTGGTATTTG